AACACATGAGCATGGCTGGGTTTTGCTCTCTGTTGTCCCTGTTACAACCTTTGTGGATGCTGGCAAAGTATCCGGCACACTGGAGACTGTGTCCCAGCCTGGTCACTTTACTACCCGTTTATGGACCTATTATCCATAAATTTATCTAATCTGTTTTCAGCCTGTTGATGCTATCTGCAATTTTACTGCCTAAAAGCACTTTGTCTCTGTGGGTTACAGCTGTGCTGGTATCACTGAGAAGGGTTTCAGTTCCTCAGCACATCTCACCTGGCTGATTCCCATCATATCCCATCTCACTGAAACCTCTTGCTGGAACATGCTCAGTGATGCCAGCTGCTGTGGATGATGGAAAAAAGGACCTCTTAGATCCCCTAAACTCCTTTGAATACTAGCTAGAGGGTATTCAAGATTAATTTCTGCTCATTTTGTGATAGCATCAGTGATAGCTTTTTGTGCACACTTGGCCCTGCCTCGTTCCTTCCTCCAGCTGCTATTGCACTATAACTGAACAACTCAGGAATTTGGCTTTCAAAGATTTTCCTAGCACTTCATTGCCGTTTGCATATAAAGCAGAGGAAGCTTCTGTAAAAGAGGGTAGATGCAGCTGTGTGCTCTTTGCATCTTGGAGACTGCAGAAATAAACAGAAGGAAATGATGAATTTGGACTCAAAGGTAGTTGATCTTGCTTGGTTTAAAATGGCCATATCATAGCAGGGAAGAGAGGCATTCAAGAAGTTGTATTTTGGAAAACATTTTTGAACAAGAGAGTGACTTATAAATCTGTAGAAGTTCCAAGCTTTGGGTCTTTGCCCTGGCTTTCTGTTGCAAACAAATTCTTCTGCAACATCTGTATGCAGTAAGTTATCAGGATGCTTTTTGCACGTGTACATGTGAAATTATGCATTAATTTGGGCATATAGAGTCAACCATGGCTTAGTGCCGTGCCATGATATAGCACGGGGGGTGTGGACACCGTGCTCACTTGCCTTTAGCTGCTGTAGCTGAGCAAAGTGGTATTTTTTTTATTGATCTCAGTAATTAATTTGCAAGCTAAGTGGTCATATACACTATAAAAGCCTGGAAATGAGAGCACATCAGGGTGATCCCTTCATACGGGGTCTTGAATTTCTGATTTGTTTGCGATTGAGAACATCAGGCTGTTGAATGCTCTTTTAGTCTGTCTGAAATATTGGCAGTAGATAATTTTGTTTTTTGATGTTACAGATGCATTTGTTAGAATACAGAACTGCTTTTGGCTGAGTGTTGTTGCTCGTTCCTAAGGTTGCATTTATTTGGTGTTTTTCTCTATGGGAGTGCAGATACTGACTGCACCACTAAACTTTCCAATAAACCTGCTCCCTGACCAGTTGAAATGAGAAGAGTAAGTGCTGGTTTTAGGGATAGACCTGCTTTCTTTTTCCAAAGCGCTGAACCGTTGCAGACTTGAGTAGATCTTCTGCAGGATTTATTCAGTTTTGACCAAAAAGGAGAACTAAAGGCTTCAAGCAGATCAAACATAACATCAAAATGCATCAATTACACGTTGCTATTTACTTGGTTAGTTAAAACTCTCTGAATTAAGTGTAGTGGATCTTCTAGGCGAGAAGCAAAAATATTGGTTGGCCTATCTGCCTCTTCATGGTTTGTCTCTCTTGGGTAGATGTTTGAGGTTGTTTTTTTTGTGGTTACTGAAAAGTGTGAACTTTTTTCTTTCATGCTGCTGTTACCGAAAACTTCAATTGGCTTGAAAAGGTAATTGGCTGCCTCTCTAGGTCTTAACCATTGCTAAAAATGGAAAATCAGCACAGCATAAAAATTGTATTAGCTGACAAATACTTGAACTTCTTTTTATGTAGCTACTGTATTTTTGGCTGCAGATTCTAGAGCACAGCGAAGTACTTTCAGAAACCAGCTCACCTGCGACCTCTTACTTAGAGCCCAACATTTTTGGGGGTGTTTTGCTCTGTTTTAAAGGGGAAAGGGGGAAGACTCAGTGGATTCTTTGTTCGTTGGATTCTTTGTTCATTCAAGGATTGGCCAAGGAAAAGAGGACTTGTCAGACAGCAGCTGGAGAGTCATTGACTGGGAAGTGTGATGTCGTGGTGTCAGAGATGATTTAAAGACAAAAAAAGTGTTGGGAGGCTCCCTTGCCATGTGCTTTTGTGTTGGGGGAACAAAAAAGCAGCATATGGAACTTGTAGGCAGCAGGAGAAGAGGAAAGAAGGGGGGGAAAAAACCCCGTTGGACAGAGCGGAGCCTTTGAGCATCCAAGGGCTATTGGGGGAATTTCCCTGCCATAGCAATTAGGGTAAAAACATGGAATAGCAGTTCTGCTTTCTCTCTTGTACCTCTTCTTCCTCTACATAAAACCCCTTGAGTCCTGTAAAAAGAAGCTAATATGCAGATTTTTTGAGGGAATTTGGAAGGAGATAAACTACTGAGGTGGATTTTCTTTTTAGTACCAGCCTCTTCCAGTGTATTTTTTTGGTTTATTAAAGCATTCAGACCTGCATTTGCTGAAAAAGCAAAGCGCAATAAGGGATTTTGGCCAGACTCTGTGGATTGTAGTTTCATTTACAGTAAGACCCCAATTTCTTTTTTTTCTTTTTTCTTCCTCCCCCTCCTCCTTATTTTTTTTCAGGAACAGACATAGCGCGTGGATTATGTGAGGGTTTTGGCAGGTTTTCCTCGGCCCTTTGTTTAAGCTGTGCTGAAATGCAGTGCTGCAGCATGATGTCAATGCTGTCTGATGGATTGAGCAGACGTGGAGCTTTGTTTAAAAAAAACATATATATATATTATATATATGGGGAAATCATTATGAAGAGAGGAAGAGCTCCTCTGCAGAAACCTTAGAGGATTCTGTAAGACTTTTCTGAGCAAAAGCCTCAAAGTGCTGAGCTTAGGCCCTGTTGGTATCCATCTCTTTCCATCAGTCCAAACAAATTCTCCAGGCGCTCAACGTGGACTTAAAACAGCGGGGTTTTGTATTTATCCATGTAACTGATACTCCAACTATATTTTAGGTTGAGGAGCTGTTTGTTCAGAACTTGTAGCTAAGCTGAAGCTGTGGATGAGCAACGACCTTTCTGTTTTGCTACCATTTCCTTATATTTTTTTAAGCTCTTAGCTATTTCTCTTTATTACGAGAGTGCATAATACTTAAACTACAGTGATATATGGTTTTGATTTGTGGATCAGGAAACCAACAGGAAAAGTCTATTAGAAATGACCTAGTATGAGCTCATCTTAAAGGAGACTCTTTTTTTGCATTAGAAAAGCAAGAGCCTTCTAACCGTGTGTATTTACCAGAACTGGAAATTATGTCAGCAGATGGAGCATTGAGGAAGGAAGGTAAATTGTACCCTCAGTCAATAGAGCATTTTTATACTGTGTTGCCTGGATTCAAGGTTTTCAAGGCAAGTAAAGGTAAATATACGTTAATGAGCGTCCTAAATCTCCTTTTTGTGTTGGCAATGTTCGTTTTGGGACTGATGTCTGCCTGGATAGAAGATTGATGGAAGGAAAAGGGTGGATGTAAGGAAGGTGAGGATGGCAAGGTAGCATTCCGCGGGCAGTGAGACCTTCTCCTAGGAATCCAGCTTCCAGATGAGCTCTGGGAATGCGGAGGGCCGAGCCTGAGCTCGGGGCAGGGCAGGTCACCTTCTGGCTGGTCTTGCTCTTTTAAGATATGTGGAAGGAAATCAAGGCTTACGAGAAAGCCTGAATAAAAAGTGGACATCTTTTTCAAGACCCTTATCAGAACTGATGGAAAACAACGTCAGTCCCAGCAAGGTCTGTGCTCACCATTGCGAGTACGAAATGCCATAATCCCCGTCTCAAATACAGAGACAGCGCGAAGGGGAGGCGAAAAGATACAGTTTTTCGCTCGCGATTTGGGAACGGCTCCTTTTCCTTCACGCAGCGATTCTGCAGCTGCTATAACCCGATACCCGGCGGCGCTGGGGAAGCCAGCGCGGCGCTTTGGCTGCGGCCCAGCCTTTGTGGGAGGCTGCCCCGCCGCTCGAGCCGGGAAGGAGTTCCCGGTCATCCTTCACTGCCTTTTAGAGGTCTGGTCGTCCAGCCGTTTCGGCGTTAGCTCAGCTTGCATATGGCCAGGAGCTCTTAAATCATGATTTATGAAACAGTGACTGGCCTTTCTGGGTGAATTTTGTCCCTGCGTTTACGATATAAACTCTGGCAGCTTTTTTGAGAGAGCCAGACTTTGCTTTTCATGCTGGAAAACCAAAGGTTCATGAGGCGAAACTTAGAAGGATAATTTTGGTGGGTACAAGTTAGAGAAATAAGTTGCGTTTTCCTCTTTGCTGCTCTGCTCCGGTGCCTTTATTTCCTTTTCGACCTTCCGCTGAATTTCCCATCCTCACCCAGGGTATCTTTGTGTGACAAGGTGGTTTGGGGCTGCCAGCTGGCCTGGAAGGAGGGCAGGTTTGGGCATTAAGGACAAACATCCACAGGTCTCTGACAGCAGGGTCGTGCAGGGAAAGGAAAACTGGAGGGAAAAGCAGACAGATGGGGATAGCAAAGGAGGGGACGGGTGGCTGTTTAAGCCATTTAAAATCGCCGTGTTGACTGACAAATCTGGCAGTTGGAAGCAGTTTGACTGTTTAGTCCGGGCACCCAGAGTATTGCATGGGCTTGCTTTTATTGGTAACTATCTGATAGCCCTCCGCCTGTGGCCGTGGCTAATGAAACAAAGCCGTCGTGCTCGTGGCTGGTGGCTGCGCAAGGCCTCCCTTGCTCCCGTTCCAGCGCGTTTGCCGCTCGCGCGACATCGCGGCCAGCCCAAAACCTGCTTTTGTTCCCAGCTTTGCAGCCGACGGAGGCCGGGTGATTGTTCGGCAGCGGCAAAGCGCTGAAAAAGCGCCCGGCTTTTCCCTTTATCCACGCGCTCGAATCAGCAAATGCCCAAAAGTGGATTTGATGAGGCAGGAGCCCAGGAGCGAAGAGGAGCTGACTGGAAACTTGGAACCAAAAAGACGGATTGTGTCGATTTGGGAGGTTGAACTTTGTGACTGAGGCCACGTGTCTGTCATCCCAACGTGTGACATTGGTTTCTCATAATCCGGATGTTGCTGGTAGGCGAGAAAGCATTTGCAGGTGCCTTGCTGCTCCTTGTATTGTGTGTTACTGGCTGTTGCGGGGGAAGCCCGTTATGCAAAAATTTTATTGGAGCTTCTCTGAGGGGCTCCTGTGTTGATGCTTTTCATAGAAGGGGTTTTAGTAGAAGATTTGCTCTTCTACAGCATCATTATTGCAAGGTTTCTTCAGTTCAAGTGAGAAGTATGCAAACTATGCCTTATTTTTGCTGGCTCTCAATGCTAATTCTTGAGTCAAAGCAACAAATCAAGATGCCCTCTGAACTTAACCAATAAGTATTCTGCATCATCCGTGTCAAATCCTCTGTGGATGTACATTGTGCATGTACACATGCTATGAACGTGGCCTTGGATGGCCTACAGAAACGCTTCTGTACGTTCACTGCTTCTGGTTTTCACTGTGGGTGTTTGGAAGAGGCCTGGTATCTGAATGCATCAAGGCATTTGGATTCGGTAAAGTGTATGGTGCCCGTATGACCGTGGTGAACACCGAATTGCAGCAGATGCACGTTAATGCAAAACTTGCTTTAGATGAGAAAATAACAATAAGTTAAATCTATTTAAGCCTATAGTCCTCTATTAAAGCACACTATACCTGCCTGATTTCCTCCAGAAAATATAAAATAAGAGGCTTGAATTTTGTGAGAAAGGAAGCTAGTTCATAACACTTGACACAACTGCAGTGGGGTTGGGGTGGGAGACAGGGAATGTGGCTGTTGCCACTTGAGACTGGGGGGAGATATCTCCCCCCTTGCACAGCTGAGTCTGCTTAATTCATGCCTTTCCATCCCGTGATTTTTTAAACTTGTTTTTGCTATCCCAGGTGCTTTTCTTACTATTGCAAAAGCTTCTTAAATTCCTCCCCTTTCTACTCCCAGGACATCAGACTTTCTTCTTTAACAGGTGTCACGATTTTGCTTGCTTATTGAGTAATTTTTTATGCTGCTGTCCTGCTAACACTGGACAGTTGATGCATTTTGCTCACAAAAGGAGAAAAAAAAGTGCGAGAGGGAGGAGCGCTTCCTGGGCTACACCTCGAACAAAGGACCCAATGGGAAACTGCTGGAAATGACCAAATGTAGAGAATTGAGCTCCCTTAAATACTGTGTTTTTCTGGTGCTGGCTTTATGTGCTGAGTTGTCATCTCTAGATATCTAGCTTGTTTTTGTGGGTTGCACTTTAACTTTGTAAGCACTGGCAGAACCGTGTGGATGTTTCTTTCAATCTAATCCTGGAATAATCATTAACATCAAGGTTTTTTTATTTTTTATTTTTTTTAAGGTGAAAGAAGAGATGCTGTTTGAGGCCCTGGTTACCAGAAAGACGGTGACTGTAGGAGAGAAGCTCATCTTACCATACAAACTAGCAGAGGTTGGTGCACAATGTTTATTTTACAAAGGGAAACGCTTGGGATGGTTTTCAGCACTTTGAAATGAGCTTAAAATGTCTGCTTACATGCTGGTTGAGTTTAGGTATTTCCTTACTTATTTAGAAATAAGTAAATGGAGAAGCTGATGTGTCTGTGGATGCAGGAACACAACTGACTTAGGTTGTGATAGGAGAAGGGACCTGAAGAAGTGAGGTTGACCTGCTCGTGAAAACTCTTGTTAAAATTGTGAGTGGAAAGAGTAAATTATCAGGCTACCCTGCTGAAGTGCGACTTAATACCATTGGGCTTCTACCTCCCATCTCACTGCTCAGGTTTCTCAGGAGAAGAGAGTTTGTCTGTTATTAGAGCTTGGGCTTCTCTCGATGTCGCTGTTGACCCTGCAGACGAGGACTCTCCAGCCCTGGTTTCCTCAGCTGCGTTGTACTTGGAGTTTTGGAGTGTTAGGGAAGAGCTATAAGGATGGGGCTCTAATCTGAAATCAGTGTTCTTTTGTAGAAAGCCTTGGGATTTTGCATTCTGAAGGGAGTCCTGAACTTCAGTGATGTCCCTAAGTGTGTCTGCTCAGTGACACGTTCAGTACAGATGGCTGGGCTGATGTTCTCAGGTCTCTTTGACCAAACAGTGTCTCATTACATGCGAAACGCAACTTGTCACAGAAATACCTTCCAATATGTGGTTAATGCTCTTGGCACACGCTCCGTGACCCACCTCTTTGCCCTGCTGTGCGATATCCTGCAACACCATGATCTTGTGGTGATGATAGTCCTAAACGAGCAGAGGAGACTGAAGTTATCGTGTCCTTTAGAGGTTGGAAGCAGCAGAGCTGAGAGTGGACTTTTTATAGCCAATGAAGTCCTTCCTCTTCGATTTTTCCCCGGTCTCTGGCCCCATGAGGACACTAAGAGCAGGCTGCTGCTTGGTGGCAGTGATGCTGCATTCCTCCCTGTCCCCACGGCATTGTTATCGTGGCCAAATTAGAAACATCGTTGGGTGGTTTGGGGGATTCTTTTTCAGAGACTGCGGTTTGAGCACTTGGCAGCTCCTCGTTTGAAGCAGTTGTTCTTCAGAACAGACCTAAAGTTAAATGAGATTCATTTTGTAGATTTGTTCTGCTTGTCTTTACAGTAAGTCATGTAAAACCAGGCCTTTTATTTCTACATATCTTGCTCCTTGTATAAAAATATTTCACAATGCCCTTGTATATTATGTTTGGGGAAGGAGGAGCAACTTAGAGCTGAAGATTTGAGTGAAGTCAGTAGTGCTGAAAATGATCTCTACAATTAGCAACTGTTTCCCTTTTATGCATTCATCCTGTACTTCTGTGCTTTCTCCTCTCCTTGTTGGCTTTTAAGTTGAATGTTGGTGTTGTCAACTCAGTGTTTCTCTTAATAAACCCACTTTTTGAGCCTTACCTGCATATAACTGTTCTGTTGGGTGATGTTGAAGTATCTAAACTGGTTTAAAAGATTGATATTATATTAAACTTCAGTGAAGTAAGACTCCAGCAGAGTAAAAACCACCTTTCCATAGGTACCAGCAGTTGCTAGTGCTGTCTTCTCCAGCTGAGCGAGCTTTTTCCAGCACTCGTGGAGTTCATTTAACTGTATTTCATGCAGGAGGGTGAAGGATATGTGATAAGAGCACCTACTTGAGGAGGATTGGAGGCAGGAGCAGCTGGACTTGTGCCCCAAGATCCCATTTCAAGATCTGACCTGTTTTTTCTAGGCTCTTAGTGCCCAGCTTCCTAGTATTATAAAAATGATTCCATGAGTGAGTGCTGTACGCTTCAGGAAAACCCTCTAAAACGCAACGTGCCCTCAGATTTTTTTGATCATACACCAAATCTTGGTCTATCTGGCCTTGGTTTTAACAGTGGGGTGGTGCCTGTTGTCCTTGGAGTCACCGGTACTTCTGAAATTAGGGAGAAAGCGAGACAAGAGGCCTGGTTGTGAAGGTTAAAACGGACCCAGCTTGGCCTAGGCATCGTAGGTGCCGTTCAGGAGTGCAGTTACAATCCTTCCTCTGTGGAAGCCGTGGCAGATTTGGGCTTGACCGTGCAGTGCCCGCAGCTGGAGCCTGCGGGGAGCGAGCGCTGCCTCCGCGGGCCTGGTCTGCATATCGACCCGGCGTCGGGCAAGACTCCCACAGCCATAAATAATGCTTATATTTACCTCTGGCAGCTGCCTCTTATCTGGAGCCCCGCGTTGGCTTGTGTGCCAGAGAGCTGCCTCCTGGAACCATTCATTTTTCCTTTTATAGTAGCCGGATGGTATTTTAATGCAGTGTTTCAACTGACTGCATAATTTGCTTTAGTGCTGAGGTCTCCAAGCTTTTATGCTGCTGATGCTCTTAGAAAAAGCTGCACCTGCATGAAAGACTGCAGTTTTATTCAGAGACCTATTTTTTTTTTCCTTTGTCCTAATGACTTTCTTAGGAGCGAGCCTGTATATTAACCTAGCTAGCAGCATTAATGGGTTTCCAGAGAAATGACAGTGTGTCTGTGCAGGCAGAGCACGGGGTCGGGTAACAGGTAGAATGCAGAGAGAAGGACCCTTCTCCAGGAGGGGATTTGGCCCCGGGAGCCCAAGAGCCGTGAGAGGCGTCTCGGTTCGTTCGGCTCTGCCTTTAACACAGATGTTTTTCTCCAGCCCTAGCACTCTCCTTTCTGAGAAGGTAAAATGTAACCAGCGTGCCAGTGCAGTGGAGAAAAATTGTATTTTAATGACAGGCGGAGAAGAGGTTCTGAGAATTATCATTCTCCCTCTCCAAGTGCTCCTCAACTCTACTCCCTGAATATATTTTTATATATATATATATAATATATATATATAGTTTTCATATAACAAATGCTTTTTTTAAATTAGTCCTTCATGCAAGGTAGAAATGATTTATAACCATGATATAGGCGTCCAAAGGTGGGGGGGTGGAGGAAAGAAAAAAAACAAAAATACAGACACATTGAACATTAAGTGACTTCTTAGTAGGAAACATGCAGCACATCCAGGAGCACCATAAGCAAATCGTTGTGGAGGACTTGGAGGCTCTCAAAATCTTTTACTGCTCTTTGTTTGCAGTCTGAGCATCATCATCTCGAGCTTAATCCGGGAGTGGAACAGCCCTTCTGGGCCATGTCTGTCTTCCTGCCTCTATCTAAATAATTCAAAGAATTCAGATTTCTTTTTATCTCGTCTTACTGCAAGGCTCCAAGGCCTTGACTAATATAGTCATTTACCTCTCTTAAACCCACCCAGCATTCTCGCCTGGGGTTTCTCCACTCCTGCCTTTTTCCACTCTCCTCTTTTGCATTCTTTGCCTTGCTCCCCCTTCCCCTTGCAGCAGAGACCAGCTCCATGTCTGAGTGGACCGACCCTCTGCACCCACCTTCTTTCCATCCCACTTACTCTGCTTATCAGGCCAGGGCCTGTCACCTGCTGCTCTATTTTTCACCAGAGTCCCCACATTTTTTTCCATGATCTCCATTAGATGAGGAAAAACTCTTTATCAAAGTAGATGCATCTGTTACCAAATCCTCTTTTGCCTCTCTCCAGAAAACAGATTTTTTCCATGATGCCGTCAGTCCTGTTCTGTTGGCATTGCTAAAGTGACTATGCAAAAAAACTGTTGTTTTAACAGATCTTTATAATTTGCAGCCACTTATAAGCAAGGGTATTTTTTACCTGAAAATTAGTTAATGAATTAATTCATACTCGTGAACGAGGCCTTTGTTGGATCCTGAGATCCAAAACGAGGCCTTTGGTCCTGAGAAGAAGAGGAGAAGACAACAGGATGGTGTTTGTGGTGGCCCGTCAAGAAGCAGCGTGGACGTGTTTCACTTGCGCAGGTACCGGTGCGATGCTGTCTAGTGCCTTTTTCAGACCATGATAAAGAAAAGAAGGAATGATCTCCTGTGGCCAGATTTAAACATTGGCCAAGATATTAAAAAAAAAAAAAAAAGTTAAAAAACAAGCAGAGGAAAAGGTAATAGTTGCAGCTAGCTCTGAGTATTTGACAGCCAGACGGCATTGCAGGAGAAGTGGGAGGGATGGGGATGGATGAACTGGAAGGATGGGGATGCTTAATGAAAACAAACAGAGGAAAAGGTGATAGTTGCAGCTAGCTCTGAGTATTTAACAGCCAGAAGGCATTGCAGGAGAAGTGGGAGGGATGCACTATAATGGCAGAAGGGAAGAGGGATGAAAATTCTCCCTCCTGAACTGGAAGGATGGGGATGCTTAATGGAAAGCAAAGTGTCAAAACCCCTGGAAGCAGGTACTTAATGCTGGGAGGTATTAGCTTAGGGGACTCCTTGTCAATGTAGGTTATTAAACAGGAGCTTAGCAGGACTCCTTTGAAAGGTTGGGTACAGTGATGAGTGTATTCAGAATTACAGAAAAGCAATTAATGGGCTAAAAATGAAAAGCCCCCAAAGCTTTTAAGAGGCATCAAGCATCGCTGTGAAGGCAGCCTGTCAATAGGGAGCTTCAGAAGAAGCTTTTTGCTAGGATTGGGGTTTTCCTAACTGCAAGGAGCAGGGGATATGTTCCCTGTGGATATGGATGAGGGTTGTTTTAGCACTGGTGGGTGTTTTCTTGTGGGACGCAGAATCCTGCCTCTGTCAGGAAGACAGATGCCTTCCAAATGCTGTTTTGATAATTCTTTTATGTTGGCATGATTTATGCCCAAAGGTCTGTTAGCACAAGGCTGTGCCTGGGAGATGCTGCTGAAATTTGGTTGAATGGGTCTCGTTTTTGTGGAATTCTTTCTCAAACTGTGCAAGCACCAGAATGAGGACTTTGAGGGAAATGCTGATGTCCCATGGACTGCTCTACCCACTCCAAAGGCCACTTCTGTCATCAGATGCATTCTAGGCTCTCTTTGAGGGATATTTTAATTACACTTGATTACTGAAAAGATGTTTTAAATCCAAGAAGTCCCTTTAGTACGTGTTTTCAGTAATTCTGCTATTTAAATTTGGGCTCAG